TATATATATATATATATATATATATATATATATATATAAATTAATATTTTATCGATATAATATAATTTATTAATACAATAGTATTAAATATATGATTATATCATATAATGTAAAAATATTCTTAAAATTTTTAACAAAAAAATATTATATTTAAATAGTTGATATGAAATTAAAAACTATAAACATATTTGATATATATAAGAAATAACATATTTAAAATGTATATTATTAAATTTTTCTAAAAATAAAATTTTATTGCATAATACAAACAAATTGTAATATTTATTGCGTATAAAAACTACTTAAAATAAATAATTTCATAAAATTAAATTCACTATATGTATTATATTATGTATAATATATAAAACTTAATTTTTAAAAATCTTGATATTTTTATTTTGAGCTTATTTGAGATTATTTATCTAGCTTATTTTAATATAAAGATATAAATTAATAAAATTACTAAATATAATTTTATATATATACTAATAAATAAAAGTAATATGTATTTCAATTTTTTTTTTAATAATATAACTATTTTGATAACTAAATTTATATATATAACATATATAAGATATTCCAAAAATGAAAACATTGATTAACTTAAAATTTCAAAGATAATTTCAAGCAACATTTTTCTTTGTAAAAACTTTCGTTACAACTTTATTAATAAGTTGTTAACAAAAAAAATACTGGCCAATTACAGAATACATAATCAAATTAATTTATTTCAAATAAGATGTAATTTGATATAATTTTTTCCATAAAAAAATATCTATCATATTACATGTTATATATACATATTATTTGATTTTATTCGTGCTTAACCAATAGCATATACCTAATAGTTGACTAATCTATGTGCTCCATAATTATTGGCCAATGTTTTTTATTAATAATTCGTTAACAAAGCCAAAAAAAAGCTTTTTGTAAAAAAAATCATTGATTGAAATAATTTCAGAAATCTTCAATTAATCAATATTCCTACATTTTTAGGACATTGTATATATCTATTATGTAAATGTATATATCTATTAAGCAAATTAGAACTATAAATAAATACGGGTTATAAAAATAAAAAATAAATATAATACATGTATAATAAATATATACATATGAAGATTTTTTAGATAATTGCAAACAATTTTAATGAAAGTTTTTTATTTACAAAAATTTTTGTTAAGATATAATTAATGAATAAAACATATAAGAAAAAAAAATGACGGAAGAAGGATAAAAATATGATAAGAAATTGATTTTCAGCAACATATCTTAGATACTATCTAAAAATATCTCTACAAAGCAAAATAAAATAGAATAAAAATTAGCATTCTGATGTTTTTAAAGAAAATTTTTAAATAAGAAATCTTTTAAGAAATGTATTATTTTTTTTATTTGGGAAATGATCTTCAATTTTATATTATTTTAATTTGAATTTTAGACTAATTCTTAATTATTTTAAAATTGTTTTATTTTGAAAAAATATTTTTAGCACTTGCACCATAAAGAGCTCTGAAGATAAATTTTTCTTTATTTCTACTCTTTTTCCACTATTTTTTGTCCTGTTTTTATATTTCTTTTATGATATTTTAAATAAGCCCTGAATTTTTATTTTATCCTCATCTTTTTTTCTTTCCTTCCTTGCTCTTGATATATGCTTTCATCATAAAATATCAATAAAATATCAATAAAATATCAATCATAAAATATCAATTATCAATTGAATGCTTTCATTACTATTATTATTTTTCTTTTAAAACTATAATGTGTTTAATTCTTTAATTTATAATTATGTATATTTCATCATTTACTTCATGTATAAATAATTTATAATATATAAAAAAATCAAATGTTATTTTAGAAAATAATAAATTTTAAAATATAAATATAGAATATATGTAATTTTATTTAAAAAAATATATATAATACGTTAATTTTCATGAAATTAATTTGTGAATTGATATCGTAATTGATTAAAACTGAACATTGATTTTAAAATAAATTATAAATAATATGCATGATATATCATTATAATATTTTTTCTAATTTTTAAAAGTATTTTATTAAAATAATTACAAAATAAAAATTTATTTCTAATCTTCATTTAATAATAATAAAAGCAAATTTTTATAATTAAAGAAATGTATATAATAATGTAGAACAATCAATTACCTGTTTCATAATTTATATATATAAAATGTTTTATATATGTAATACTTCTTATGTACTTACTAAAATTTTCTAATAATAAAATATTTTTTAATTTTATATACACATTCTTATTCTTTATATTTTATAAAATTTTTTTTTATATTTTATAAAAATTTATTTTTTATTTTTTTATTTGATTTTATATAAAAATTTAATTTCTATTCCAACTATTACTATAATAAAATAATATTGTAATATTATTTTAAGTTGAATTGATATTGTTAACACTAAAATTTAAACACTAAAACAATTAGAAAGTTTTAATATCTTTAAGGCATGGAATAAAAAAAATGCATTAAATGTTAGGTCTATACTGTATCTTGTCTGTGATAAAAGCTATAAAATATTAAAATACATAAATTATGTTAACAATTTATCTAAACATAATACAGAAATAAAAGTATATACTTTATAGATTTACAGATATAAAATACATAGTTAATTGCAAATTTTTTTAAATATATTTTTATTTCATTCATCATTATATGTCCATGGCAATTCCTCATTAAATTTGCTTTGATGTGCAGCATTACGAGCCGCAAATAATCGCTACAAATATTATTAAACATATTAAAAAAATCATATTAAAATATTTATAACAAGTATTTAAAACTTACTGGATTATCTATATATGCTTCACATTTATAACACCAAACCGATAAATCACTAAAACTTAGTGCCAATGGATGTTCCATTTTTTCAGCATGTAATACACCATGTTGATTAATGTTACGTGCACAATGGATAATATAACACTGTAGACAGATCCAATTTTCAGCAATACTTCCACATTCTACACAAGGTAAATGTACATCAATTCCTGAAGCTGGTACATCCCTAATACTATCTAAATGTGGACATTCTCTTAAGGGTATCACTGCAAACATGTCTCCAGCTATTAGTGCCTATAGAATTTTATAAAAAATTCCAAATAATGAAAATTAATTAATATATTAATTAATATATAATATTAAATATATAATATATAATATTAAAAATTTTAAATACTAATTACTTGCAAATTTTCTGAAAAATAATCATATAAATTTTTATTGCCACTTGTTTGTGTAATTATTTTTTCATTCTGTTTACCACTACTACCAGCAGCAAAACTGGTAAAATTTTCATTAGAATGTCCTTCTTTTTGATCTTGATTCATACATGTCTTTGTATATTTAGAAACTATAAAAATAATTCTTTATATGACAAATCGTTTTATAGATAGGATATTAAAAAAAAAGTTTAAAAGCTTAAAGGCTTATAATATTTAGACTACAAGAAGTAAAAAATGTTTAATCAATATGAAATCACTTTTTATCACTAACATTCAATATCTTGTGAAGGATTAATTCAGAAATTCGTTTAACATAAGATTATTATTTACATTAATAAAAATATAAATTTTCAATGCATTTAATATTGAATATGAAAAACAATTATTTTTTAGTCTTCAATCTGTTTGGAAATGATTTTAGAAATTGGAAATGACAATATAGATTTTATATATAATCTTGCCAATGTTTTTTACTTCATTTACATGTATAATAATCTTTATTAATAATAATTTTATATTTATAATTTTGAATTAATATACTATTGAATAAATCTCTTTATTTATATTCAACAAAGAATTTTAATTACGATATCCAATGTTCGTAAATGACAAAAATCGACTTTACTCGAAAAAATTAATCTCAGAATTTACATAATTGAATATTTTTTGTTTCTCTTGAATATTATAAACCCTTAAAGTTTTGGATTTTTTTTTAACACTTTACATACATATATTTCTAATTTATCATACCTTCATTATAGAAAGTATTATCATTAAGTTGAGTATTTTGTGACTCGTAATATGAATCAATCGTTTCATCTAATTTGTCATTAAGATCTTTTTTATCTACGTTTTTAATTTTGTTTATGAATTTCCAGGTTGCAATTTTTTTATTTTGCATTTTTTCTGTCTCAATTTCTTCCAATGCTATCTTAGATTCAGAATATTTTAAAAGTTCTTCGTTGTTTATAATTTGTTCATTTGTCTTTTTATATGACACTTTAGGTTTAGAAAGTATTTTTTCTTTTGG